TGGCCCTTTTTATTGTTAAAGTAAAAATTTTCATTAAGCCAGATTTGTGTTTTTCGCGAACAGTTCCGTAATAGTACTGACTGTTCGGCGAAGGTCTTCGTAATACTTTCTTTAGAGTATTGCATGAGAAGATAGGTAAAATCGATATGATTTCCTGGCTTGCTAGACATTTCAGTATCATTTTTTATTAAAAATCATAGTAGTTAATTTAAACGACCGAATTGGGCCGCACAGTAGGCAACACTTACCTCACTGTATCAGTTCTGGCCTCCATAATACTGTGGAAAGTAACGACAGTTGGAAGTATCTCAAGAAAAGCGCCTAAAGCAATTACTCGTTCGTAAGGCTGCCGATGGTTTCGACTTTCGAGAGTTGCTTAGAAGCTGGATGATGGCTATTTTTACTTCTTAGTATGTTCCATATATAGTTTACTGTTGAAGCAAATGGTGGGGAGCCTGTTATAAGGACGAATTCGATCCCCTGCTCTTCGAGATGGAAGCAATTCTACTTCTAGTGTGCCATGCGCGCCTGCAACTGCATAATGTAGAAGAGCTCTAGAAAGTTAATCGTAATTTCAGGAAGCCTACAAATGTTATGTGAGAGCGTATGATTCACATTCTTTAAAAAACATATTTGACGTGAATACACTAGATCTTATTGCCGTTGCAAAATCGTTTGGTTTTTCAACGCCGCCATTCGTCGATTTACCAATATCGCATAAACCGAAAGTAAGTCAGCTTTTCCTTTCTCAATATGCCAAAAAAAAAAGCCTAAATTTTGTTTTGGAAGAAAAGCCATGAGAATTGGGCAGAATTTTTTATTGACATTTCCAAAATTGTTAGTATACTGCAATGAATGGACAGATTGCACATCAAAGTTCCACTGCACAAGCGATGATAGAACTTATCAGATCTGTTCACAATCTTTGTAAAAAGAAATGCTGAATGATAGTTTAGCGGAGCTTTTCAGTTGTTTTTTATTGTCTTTGAAATCTGCGATGGACTTATTGTAGCTAATTTAGGTAGTGATGAGATCAAAGTTGAGCGGAGCCGGCTATCGAAAGAAACCGAAAGCATTCAAGCAGCTACCTAAGCGGCGCACTTTTGCTAGTGATGCATGATCACGGCACACTCATCGATTTGGTCGGCGGTGCTTCTATGAAAAGTCATCCGTTGTTTGATCCTTTCCATGAACTTTTTGTTATTTAATAAAAATTTTGCTCCATGGAATGCTGTAGTGCGTGTTGTTGTCTTAAAATATGTAGGAGAGTTTAGATTTGGAATTATAAAAACGAAGAACATCCAGGAAAAACGGGATGAACCTTTATCACAATAAGTACTTGTGACCTGTTACCGCGTTGAATCAAGACGATGTACTGATTTAACAGCACATTGTGCTTCTCCATCCCTCCGACAGTAGCATCGTCTGTTGGTTTGAGTTGCTTAAGATTTCTAGAACTCTCTGTGCGAATTGCGTGAAAACCGGGTGTTTCTAATGTTTTTGGGATGCGTTCCTACACTGGATGCGATTTTTCCCTGATTAGTCGCGCCTCTTCAGTAAGTACCCGCCGCCGTCGGCACATGTGCACTACCTCCTCAGAGGCCATTCTGTAGTTGTGCTTACCTTTCTGGGGAGAAACATCTACTGCTACACTTACGTCCATCGGTTGTCGAGTGAACAGTTTTCCATGCCAGTCAGACTTAACGTCATCGCGTAGTCTCAACTATCTCTTTTATGGCACTGGTCCGAGGGGCTGATTGTTAAGTTCAAGCATTCCTTCTCCTTCGTCCGTCATCAGGTACTCTTTAACAGTGGACTAAACCCGGCATATCAAAATTTCGATGAGACGCATGAGATGGGACTAACTTATGTGCAAAATAGCTATGCTCACTTAAGTAAAGGAAATAAATTTATGCAATTTCTGAAGATATATGTCGCAATTACAGAAAAAACCATGATTTCAAAGGAAATTTTATTACAATCCTCACAGCAAAAACCAATGAAAACGGATTTCCGAAAAAGCAAAAATGTTCATTATAAAAACTAGTTTCACTGAGATGTGGCACAACAAAATTTCATTTAACGAAGCACTAATAAAATATTTGACAATTATTGGCGGAAGGAGTTATGATAAAAGGAAAAATCCGAAAAACTACACAAAGTCGAAGAGGGATTCCAGTTATTGTATAAGGTCAAAAGGAAAAACTTTATATTTCCTGCAGTTCATCGCAGAACTCTCACAACGACGAGAAAAAAGAGTGTTTAATCAAATTAATTCTATATTTATGAACATTCTGAAAGCGTTATTTTCCCTGTTTTTTAGGGACTACTGGCAATATACGATTGGTAAAGTAGTTTAAGGTACAAAGGCAAATTACTGTTGTCATAATCATTAAGAGGGAATATAAGAAAAAATATGATTTCGTGCATTTGAGAGGATCTCGAGACAACGCGTCCCCCTTCGTGACGATGCTGATGAAGTCATGTGCTGCAGAGGGTCTCGATTTGCGATAATGGAGCTGGCCTTGTAGCTGGAAATGAGTGTTCCCTCCTGGACACCAGGTGCTGCGGTTTACGCAGATGACAGCGTTGGTCTGCTGAATCGATGCCACGAATTCTTCCACGGTGCATTGAAGGGAAGGGATAAGGTAGCAGATGAGTATTTGGCATAAATCACTGCTGAAGCATTTTGCGTCAGGCATCAGTGAGTGAATTATACTGCTGCGTTACAACAATCTTCAAATCTGATGGGTGTGACGATGCATGTAGTCTGGATAACTTTGCTGATTAGCCGGTAGCTATGAAGGCAGAAGTGGATTCCCATGTTGTTGCTCTGAGTGATCTTTATTGAAACTGTTGTGTTCTGAAAGCTGAAGGATAATCCTCGACTGAGTGGCAAGATGTTTCTTTCTGCATAAATAGGTCACTGACATCTTGTATATGACGATGGCGGTTTGATATCTCCGGGGCAGATTGACAATCGTAAACTTTTTAAGGAAAGGAACAGTCAGACTTTTTTGCCTTCTGCTTCGCTCTACGCCAATTATTGTTATATTTTACCGCTGTTATTTTTTGTCACTGTTATCCGTCACCACTGTTATCGTTTTATCAGCACTGCGATTGATTCCACCACCCTGCTGAGTCCCTTCGCTTTCTCGGCTTCAGAGGATCGCTTGTCGAATTTGTCCAATCGGCTTCGGGACAGCTTGTGGTGAAAGGGGTTCTGCCAGAAAAGCTGCCCGTTTAAAATCGGCCAGGAAGTACCTTCTCAGTATGGGAAGCGTTAGCAACGAATTGGTCGTCAGAGTAATTGAAAGCACCGTTGCAACTGCAATGTGCCGGTTCACTTGAATAGATTTCTTAACAGGCTTCCTGCTGTCTGCATTTTGATTTTTGACTTGGTAGCCACATTCCATGTTGGGCACGTATGCACCTTGAAAACGTCGACGGTCGTAAATTCTGAAGAACACACAAACGGACTACAGAAAAAGCATCCACATTCAGCGCAGCCACAGGACTCTTCGTATGCTGATTTCACTGGCCTAACTTTAATATAAAAGTAAGAAACAAATGAAAGCACGGATGGAAAACGCTTTCTCCAGGAACTTCGGATTCCGTGACTTCTGGTGAAAAATTCGAATTTTTTAGAACATATGGCTTTAAAAATGCGGGTTATAATCTTTATGGTGCCCAATATAGCGTTAGTCCCATCTTGAGAATAACGCAAGCTGTTTGTCTCCGAGGTTGCAGTGCAAGAACTCCGAAGCTGCAGTGCTAGGTGCAGTTGACGAAAACTGAATTTGCTTTCTTGACACTCTTGATTTCTTGAATTTAAAGTTAATTCGGAGCAAGCGTTCACCATTTGTACGTTATGAGAAATCAACAAGGCCCATGACTGTAAATTTCGGATAAGCTGTGAATGTCTTACTTGTTGAAGTAGAGGATTTTAGCTGGCATCAGTGGGTCTTGCTGGTTTCGACAATATAAGAATTTTTGATGAGAAATAAGATACATAATAGTATCAGCTTCATTAATAGCTTCAACAGAAATATTATTTTACCTATCACTGATATCAGCAAGATAACAGGTTAACAGAGGTGTTTGTAGAAGAATTATCAAATACACAAGAATGGCAGACATGATCAGCAACACGTTTGCCTTGTACTATGGATTCAAAATTTTCGTTCGTACAAATTTAGAATCGCATGCTTGTGTACGAAAATGCGGAATTTCCGCCTCCGAATTTTTGACATACGGAGATAATGATTTAAATTTTTGTAGACAGATTACAGAAGGTCCGAATTCTTTAATGGTGTGGCACATTACGTGGCGGCTTGTTCTGTTAACAGAGCCATTTTTGAGCGGTCGTAGAAGACGTGGAGCCAATAATGTTAGGAATGTGCCGGACAGTCATGGAATTGGGATTGTTACCTGATGCCAGTTTTTAGTAATACCTTTCAATTTCAGAAGTTTCGCATTTGATAAAAAAGTACCCCATCAATGACTAGCCTTCCACGGCTGGTGCAGCAAAACTTTTAGAGTAAGCAGCACCGCTGCACATAGATATAGAAATCCTTAACATATCCCTTTTGAAGGCAAAACTGCCGGATTAGGTAGTATTTTGGAAAGCGTCAAAGACCAAATGCCACGAAATTTTAAAACCTCTGCCTGGTCAAGTACTTTCGTTGCTTTGTCTTTTCTAAGTACATATGAATTTTGGTAGACAGAAATGTACTCATGCAAATTCACTAGCGCCTTTACAAAAATTTTTTTGTTACTGGATAACTGCTCATTTTGCCTAGATGCAAATACAATCATTGGCGATGCGCACCAGGCCGGCACGTGCGATCATGCATTTTTGCAGTATTTCGCGCTGTAATGAGAACGCTCGAAAACTTAGTAGCTAGAAATGTGCAACACGCTGGTCCTCGAATTTCGGAAATTTAATTGTCTACGCTGTACTTGGACAGGGAACATTCCCTGAAAATTTCAGCCTTCAGCTTTCCTAGTTCAGGAGTTGGTCATTTTCCCGTCAAAAATTTTCACGGGGCCGAACGTGATAACCACACACAACTGGGGGCTGAATTTGATAAATTCAAGTTGTACTTGGGCTGGGAGCACTCCCTTAAAATCTTAGCCTCCTAGCTTTTCTGGTTCTCGAGTTACCAACATTCCCGCCAAAAATTTCAGATCCCCAGCTCTCCTGGTTCCGGAGTTAGCCGTTTTCCCAACAAAAATCCCCATGGGGCTGCACGTGAAAACCACGCACAACGAGGGGCTGAATTTGACAATTTTAAGTTGCGCATGAGCTGGGAATATGCCCTTAAAATTTCAGTCTCATGGCTGTCCAGGATCCCAAGTTAGCGACTTTCCCGCCAGGAACCCACACGAGGCCGTATGCGGGAATCGCACATACCTCGGGGCTGAATTTAAAATCTTTGAATTCTACATGGAAGAAAAGCATGGCCTCGAAATTTCAACTTCCCAGCTTTTCTGGACGCGTCAGTGATTTTACCGCCAAAACTTTCAAGCACTCAAACGCAAGGCCTAGCGTGTGTGAGGATTGGTGCCGCGGTCCTCGGGTGGAGCTCGGCCGAGGAACCCATTTCGCATTTGGATATATGCAAAAACGCATAAAAATAATCACCGTTGATATTCTTCTCAGCTCGGTTCACTTCCTTTGATGTTCTAAAAAAAACTCTAGGCTGAAACGCACCGGGCTGCCGATGGGATTATGCGCTTTTGCGCTGATTTGAAGCAATCAGGCCGCTAACTATATGATGGTTCTTGCTTTACATTTAACTTTGGCTTACTAGCGCAAATTATCGTAAATTTTGCATAAAGGAAAGTTAACGATTTTTGTCGAACAGGCATTGTTTGAAAATGAACTAACTGCTAAAACTTTTGAGTGCCCTTACGTGAGAACCACGCATACCTGGGGGCTGAATTTAAAATATCTGTGTTATAAGTGGGTGGAGGATATTCCTTAAAAATTTCAACCATCTGGCTGTCCTAGTTCTCGAGTTAGCAATTTTTCTGCTACAAACTTTACTTCCCTGTGGTAAAACTTGTCAAAATTCAAAGCTCACCCAGAATATGCAGAGTTGATGTCGGGTTTGA